ACCCACACACACCCACACCCACACACGCACACACGCACGCACCCGCCCACCCGGCGTGAGTTTATGCCACCGGTCCAGGACTCGAACTGCGATCTGCTACATGGGAGTTCAGCGACAGCCATTATGCTAACTGCTGGTCCCTCAACTTCATAAATTTTATGTTCTAAGGATCCAACACAGTAAAGGCTTAAACATCATAGTTTAACTAGGAAAAGAAAAAAGCTATGTACATATGTATGTACACATTAAGTACCCCCAAACAACTTTTTAATCTAAAAATCACCTCAAAGTGATCATATAGGTAACTAATTTATAAAAAAATTCTAAGGAACTACTATAAAATTCTAAGAACAAAACCACCACATCTTCTATAGGTTCCACATACTTCACATGTGTGGAGTTCATATTTTTACTTAAAATAATTGTTATCAATATTCTGAATATATACTGAAATAAAGATCTTTTATAACATGTACCTAAAAGTATCTAATATTTGGAATTTTCTCTAAGGCAAAACTAATGCACATAATTCCTCATGCCATACTTAAGGTTTCTTAAGAGACAGAAAAATGCCTCCATCTTACAGTGACTACAGAGATACTTTCTGTATTAGCTAAATAAGCACTAAGATGTTAGAATACAAAGTTTAACCCCATATCAGCTTTGAATATCTTAGAAAAACCTCAAGACTTCACACAAGAACATTATTCAAAATGCTCCTCCTGAAAAAATACCTGGAACCATCAGAAACTACTTGGAATGATCAGAATGATAGTTAAAACCACCAATATAAGAACATCCAGACAATAACCCACAAATAATGTTTTCTTTTTCCTAATACCTGAAGGCCACAGTCTGACAACAATTGTTAAACAAGACAAAGAAACACCTTACCTTGTTAAAGTGTAGGTGTCAATCTTAAATACTAGAGTCAGCATCCCCTTCCCCCTTCCAAAATCCAGAATAAATTCACTGCTGGTGAAGTCCAGTAATTTAACAGAACTGCAACTTACTACTTAAGCCTAGTGTGGCTACTTCACAGTAGGCTCCACCTGCAGGTAAATGCTTACAGTTTTGGAAAACTAACAAATAGGTTCTCAACTTGTACTATGGGAACTTTACACGTTATACCAAGACGAGACATGCTCTGTTCTAACAAGCTACCACACCTTGCTAAATACTAGGAATGTGCTAACACAATACAAAATACGACTAGGTAGATCTGTGTCTAGAGTGGATTTCTGATCTAAGTAAATTACTTGGAATAAAAAAAAAGTTCAAAAAAGAATTCCTTCGCAGAGATCAACATCCATCAAGAAATACCAAACTGATCATTTAGAAATAAGTCAAATCACTTTCACTTCCTTGAAAACATACACCCATGAACAGTGATTTAGTTCAAAAAGTATTACATTAACATCTTAATATACCAGAGACATAAACTTCTGTTCTGTAGAACAGGAGAAACTTATCAACAAAGTCAGAGTTAACTTAGTTACTAAAATAAAAAACAAAAGCATGCATCAACTTTATACAACCTAAACCAAAACAAGTCCAAGAATATTATGTGCCCAAGAAGGAGCTGACTACACGTTAATTAAAACAGAAAACACTTCCTCTGCATATACTGTAACACTGAAAATACAAACATATTTACATAAAAGCAATGTTTTCAGGTTGTGTTCTTCTGGATTCATTTGCTCCCCGCGCCCAATTTCTAATATACCACCCGCACATCTCACTGATGTATACCCAAGTAATCGCTGCAGCCGCCCCCTTTCCTCTGGATCTACCAGCTGTAAATTGTCCTCAATAAGCAAAGTGACAAACCCACAGGACTGGAAAAGCAGGAGGATAGAGGCAAACCCTAAACTTGAAAAAAAAAAAACCTATTAAAACTTACTTTCCCACCAATGCGCACTTGTGCCTGCAGCTTGGCGAGCTTTTCCTGGTTCATGATAGTTTCTTTCATCTAGAAAAAGAGGAAATCCTCAGCAAGGAAAGATCTAGCTCACTCTAGCATTCCACGCTCGTCATTTCCCAAGACACTAGCAGGAGCTTAAGTGTCCTACACAAGCCGAAGCCCGGATCCCAAATCCACCCCGCAAAGCTCCAAATATGTTATAAAGGAGCCCGAAGTTCACCCGCCTCCCCAACCCCCAGCCAACTCCCGGCTTTTCGCAGGCCGGGAACAAGGGCTTTAACCCCCGGCTGGCCAGCACCCCCCACCCCGGCCCTGGCCCGGCCTCGGCCTAGCCAGGGCCCGCCCGGCCCGGCCACTCTCCGCAAGCCTCGCGGTACCTGAGGCTCCTGTCCTCGGGTTGCGCCGCGAGGTGGAGGAAGAGACGGCGTCGCCTCGCCCCCAGGGCAGCCACCCCTGGCTCGACCTCGCCCCCGAGAGTCAGCCTGAGCGGGTGCGCCTGTCCGTCGCATCGCCTTCCTCTCCTCAGCCCTGTCCCTCCCTGTCTCGCTCCTTTTCGGGAACTTCCCGCCCACGCTCCCGTCCTCCTCCCACGCCGGCGTCCAGAGCCTTTTTGTACCTTGTCGGAGCGGAAAAGGGGCCGCGCGGGGGACTAGGGTTGGCGCTCAGGAGGTCTCAGGCAGACCAGCTGAGATTAGGCGCACACACGCGGGGACGCAAGATGGCAGCTAGAGGGAGGCCGGAAGTGACACAACGCCACTTCCTCCAGAAGTCAGGAAACGGACCTCCCTGGGCGCTCCTGGCCTTGCTGCGCACGCGCGGACCCCGGCGTCTGTATCCGCCCGCGGTTCTTTCCACTCCTGCAGAGGTGGCTGGGCCCAGGCCCCACCGGAGGCCCTAGGGTGTGGCGACGCCCAGGGCCTTGGGCAAGGCCGAAGAGCGTGGTCCTTTGCACCATTAGGGTTGAGTAAGTGCCCAGTCTCCATCCGACCCGGTTCCTGAAGTTCTTTACACCTTCGGAAAGGGCCTGTCCGCGTTTCTCGGAAACGCGTGGGATAACCAGTATGTGCTCAGCTCTTCATCTGCTCTCCGCACGCTGCCTGCTGTAGGTTGGAGGATTGCGACGTTGCCCTTCGGCTGGAGGGAGCAATACCAAAACATTTTGTGTTTTCCAAGGTTAGGTTGTTAGATTGCGGGATCATGGTTCAGGATTCCTGGAGAGTGTATTCCGAATGCATCACCAGAGCTCCACCCTTCAAAAAGCCATTCTGTAGGGTTGGGGATGGGACCGGTTCAACTACATTGCAGCAAGTTTAGCAGGTGGCTAACCACCTTAAACCGGTCTACATAATTACCTTCTTTTGTTTCTTTAAGAGGCAAAAAGTTGATTATACGATTTTGAATTGGCATGGGTTTGACAGCGATTCGCAGTTGAACAAATCTTAACAGTAATTCAAAGAATTCGTGCCCCATGTATTTGTAGAGACAAGCTTTAAGACAAAACCACCTATATTTAAAAATGGCAATTTAAATTTAAAAATTCTATCTGAATGACATTTTAGTAGTGTTAGATATGACGTGTTTTTGCATATTCAAAAGTGAATACAAATGTTACCTAGAAAGAATGCAATTTATATAGTAAGAAAACTTACGTAAGTGCAGACCCCTCCCCCCGTTAAAATAAATTGTTTTGGTTTGAATACTTTTTTTTTTGGAGAGGTTTTTGCTATAAGTTGCCTGCGCTTGCCAGAAAGAGACAGCCAGACAGAAAGCCAGAAATCATCCCCCAGGGGGGGATGGCCACGCCACAATCCCTTCTCCTCCATTCTCCTCTCGGGATCTTGGGCACCCACGCACACGCTCCTGGCCTGAGTTTAGCCACGGTTGGGGACTCGGACCGAGGTCGACTACATGGGAGTACATAGCGACTACATAGCGACTGCTAACTGCTGGTTCCATGGTTTGAATACTTTTTACAAGAAGTTTAACATTGTGAATGTAATTAAGAAACTAACAAGAGGAGGGCTACTATTGTATATTGCCTTTTAGAATAATTGTAACAGTTATTTTTTCAAAAAACAATGTTGCTTCCATTATTAAATGAGTCTCTTAGTACAATGGAGTTTATATATTGTTAAGCTATGTGGGTCACCATTCTAATAATAAAGGCAAAAATCATTCCTAACATTCACTGCTAGTGTGTATATTGTTAAGCTATGTGGGTCACCATCCTAATAATAAAGGCAAAAATCATTCCTAACATTCACTGCTAGAGAGATGTTACAAAATACATAGAAATACTCCCCTTTTGAAAGGAATGTATAAATCCTTTTTCGGAAAGGGTTTTCTCTTTCCTTCTTGTTATACTGCAACATTTGAAACTTTCTAGTCATGTGATATTTTCAAAGGTTTCATGTGAACAAGGTTCTACATAAGTCACCTTCCACCTGACTCACCTTTTCTAACCCTTTTTTTTTTGAGAGGTTTTTGCTATAGGGTGTATGCGCTCGCCAGACAGAGAGAGACATAGAGAGAGAAAGTGAGAAATCACCCCCCCAGGGGGGATGGTCACGCTGCAATCCCTTCTCCTCCATTCTCCTCTCGGGATCTTGGGCACACTTGCATCCAAGCCCGGCGTGAGTTCTAAGCCACCGGGTCTGGGACGTAAACCGCGGTCAACTACATGGGAATCCAGCGACATAGCCATTACGCTAACTGCTGGTTTCCACCTTTTATAACCCGTTTTCAGGAAATGTGGGTTATTTTTATTTTCCCTTGGCTCCTATTTTACCCCTGTTCCTTTGTAATTTTAAAGATTTGTTCTTTGAAAATCATCAAAGATTCTTTAGGGAAAAAAAATTATTTTTGAGGGACCAGCAGTTAGCGTAATGGCTATGTCTCTGGACTCCCATGTAGTCGACTGCAGTTCGCGTCCTGGACCCGGTGGCTTAAAACTCACACTGGGTGCATGTGCGTGCATGCCCAAGATCCTGAGAGGAGAATGGAGAAGGGATTGCAGCGGCCTAGCCATCCCCCCGGGGGATGATTTCTCGCTTTCTGTCTCTCTGTCTGGCGAGCGCATGTACCCTATAGCAAAAAAAGAAAAAAAATTATTTTTGACCCCAGCTGCGTCTGTTCATTGAGTGGTTAGTAAATTCTGATTCTAGTATTTATATGGCTTCAGAAATGCCAATACAGTAACTCATGTGTTGCAATTTCCCATGTGTTCCTAATTTCTATGCCAAATAAGGGTAACTGGCACCCACACGTTGCTGCTGGGCTTAAACAAGCCTAAGAATCATTTACTCACACTCAAGATGGCCTTTGTCAATAGAGAAGGCAAGAAAGTGAAATTTGTTTGCCCTCCTATTTATGGCGTAATCAAAGTCTGAGTTGTTTTCACCTGTAACTCAACTTGATTCAACTTCAAGAGCCAAAATATTCATTTTATATTATGTTTCATTCTTTCATTTTTTTCTTTTCTTTTTACCATAGTGCACATGCCCTTGCCACAGAGACAGAGCGAGAAATCACCTCCCGGGGGAAAGGCCACGCAGCAATCCCCTCTCCTTCATTCTCCTCTCAGGATTTTGGGAATGCACACACATGTGCCCAGCGTTGTTTTGTTTTGTTTTGTTTTGTGGGGGGGGAGAGATTTTCGCTATAGGGTGCGGGTGCTCACCAGACAGAGACATTAGAGACAGAAAGCGAGAAATCACCCCCCAGGGGGGATGGTCACACCGCAATCCCTTCTCCTCCATTCTCCTCTCGGGATCTTGGGCACGCACGCACACGCACCCGGCGTGAGTTCTAAGCCACCGGGTCTGGTACGTGAACCACAGTCAACTACGTGGGAGTCCAGCGACATAGCCATTATGCTAACTGCTGGTTCCTGTGCCCAGCATTTTAAGGCGCCAGGTCCAGGATTCAAATTGTGGTAGACTACATGGGAGTTCAGCAACCTAACAATTATACCATCTTTTTATTTTTGTTTTTTAAGTTTCTAAACCTCTTTGAACTCTTCTTCTAGCACCCCCAACTTCATCAAATTAATGCCTGTATACCATTTAGCTGTCAGTTTAAATGTTTCAGGAAACCCTGCTCTAATGTGCACAAACCCATAAGTTGCATCAATCATAGTTTTTTGGGTTTCATTTTGTTTTGTTTTAGTTGTGGTATTTTATTAAATACAAAATAAGCATTTAGTAATTTTGTTGAGTTAATGGAGAATTGAACTAGGAGTCTAAATAACAATTTTCTACCAGGTTAGTGTTGAGTGTTTGCTCTTTGATCCTGAATCTTACAAACTTTGTATTTTCTTAGTGAGGAACTGAGACTTGGAGGTTTAAGGTGTGAAAACAGCAAGCATAACCTCATCTTTCCTCCACAAAATCAACCTATATGTCTCTGAATGTATAAATACGGCCCTCACTCCTGTGACACATAGAAGAATGTTCCCTCCACTCATAGTTTTGCCTTTGTGTAGGGCCTTGATGCTGTTGCTGTCTCCCTCCTGTATCTTTTTCTGTGTTCCCCTACATCGTTCTGTCCGTACACTCGTGTGCTATGAGGCGACTCAAGAGAACAAAACAGGCACAGCTGGGGGCGTGACGGTTAAGACAGCTGGATCCCACGTGACTCACTGCAGTTGAGTCCAGAACTGAAGGTTTGAAAAACACACTGGGTGTGTGTGCATTGCCCAAAATCCTGAGAAGAGAACGAAGGAAAAGATTTTGGCACCCCACTCCCATGCTTTACGCACTTTCTCCCTCTCTCTGTCTTTCCAGAGCATACATGAGCCCTCTAGCAAATTAAAAAGAGAGAGAGAGAGAACAAAACAGAAAAGCCGCTTGTCTTCCCCAATGATATTCTCTAACCCCATGGCTTTAAATAGTTATTCTGATAGCCCTCAACTTTATGCTTCCAACCCTGACACCTTTTGAACTCTAGACTGGATGTGTTTTTCAGATTACTATGGAAAAACAGAAGTAAGAAGAAACATGAAATTGAAAAGAATAAAAAATTCATAAGCCTATCACCTACCATAAATTTTGTGTCCTATTAATACACACTCAATATCTTTTTTAAAAGAATTATTTACTTGGGAACCAGCAGTTAGCGTAATGTCACTGGACTCCCACGTAGTTGACCGTGGTTCACGTCCCGAACCCGGTGGCTTAAAACTCATGCCGGGCACGTGTGCATGCGTGCCCAAGATCCTGAGAGGAGAACGGAGGAGAAGGGATTGCGGCGTGACCATCCCCCCTAGGGGGTGATTTCTCGCTTTCTGTCTCTATGTCTCTCTCTGTCTGGCGAGTGCACGTGCCGTATAGCGAAAATCTCTCCAAAAAAAAAAAAAAAAAAAAGAAAAGAAAAGAATTATTTACTTAATTTTATTTATTATTGTTATTTTTAAAAAAATATTATTTTTGTTTTATTTAACTTTATTTATTTATTTATTTATTTATTTTAATTTGACCAGAGAGGGACAGAGAGAGAGAGAGAGAGAGAAGGAAAGTGAGAAAGCAAGCCACCAGGTCCAGGACTCGAATCGTGGTTGACCATGTGGGAGTCTGGCACCCCTACCCACCACGCCACCTGCTGGCCCCAATGATTGTTATTTTTTAATTTGACCAGAAAGAGAAAGGGGAAAGTGAGAAAGCAAGTTACCATGTCTGGAACGTGAACTGTGGTCAGCCATGTGGAAGTCCAGCATCCCAACCATCATGCCATCAACTGGCCCCTAGACTCATTATTCTTAATAAGTGGTAGAGTGATTCCCCTTTTTGACATATTTATAGACATTTTATATATATTTTAGGTTTTATTTAGTTATTTTAATCTGGGAAGCTTCTATAGCTACTTATTATGAGTCACCATTGCAGAAAATAGATCAGGCTACTTTATATATGTTTATTTATTTATTTTTTTAGGGAGAGATTTTTGCTGTAAGACGTGTGCACTCCCTGGAGAGACAGAGAGAGACAGAGAGACAGAAAGAAAGAAATACCCCCCCCCGAGGGGGATGGTCACACCACAATTCCTTCTCCTCCATTCCCCTCTCAGGATTTTGGGCACACACACACACCCGGTGTGAGGTTCTGGGTGTGAGGTTTAAGCCTCAGAGCCTGGGACCCGAACCACGGTCAGCTATGTGGAGTCCAGCAGCATAACCATTATGCCATCTGCTGGTCCGTATAAGGATTTAATATAAGGGACTGGTGCTTAGAAAATTGTGTAAAAGGGCTGGAGGAGTGAGCTTTAGCCTGGGCTGTCAGAAATGAGTTTTGGAATAATACTGCAGATCTAGGCTCTCAAGGTATCTGCTACTACTGTCTCCACCCATCAGAAGGATACCCATGGCCAACCATGGTTCCAGTTCCAAACCTGGCAATTTGCTTTTTCACTTTCCTTTTCTCTCTCTTTCTCTGGTCAAATTAAAAAATAATAATAACAAATAAAATAAATAATTCTTTAAAAAAATAGAAGAAGAAGAAAACAGAGATCCAGGACCCCACAACTGGAATTACTGATGTAGTAATGCACCATTCTGTAGGGACCAGCAGATGGTGTAATGATTACATTGCTGCACTCCCACAAATGTTTCAGTTCAAGTCCTGGTGGTTTAAAATTCATGCCGGGTGCATGTGCATGTATGCCCAAAATCCCAAGAGGAGAATGGAGGAGAAGTGATTTCAGTGTGACCATCCCCCTGGGGGCTGATTTCTTACTTTCTGTTTCTCTGTCTCTGTCTCTCCAGCAAGTGCATGTACCCTATAGCAAAAAAATTCTCTTGAAAAAAAAATGATAATAATGCATCATTCCATAGGAGAGAGGGAGAGAAGGAGAGAAAGAAGGAGGGAGGGAAAGAAAGAAAAGAAATAAAGGAAGAAAACTGAAATGAATCTAAATGTGTATAAAATTGTTTTTTCTGTGATGTAAGATAGAGATCAATGTGGTTTGTTTCTTTTTTGTGCTATGTAGATTTAAGAAAAACACACTAAAAGACCAAAAAGAAAGGTTTGAAATTGGACTCTGGCCTTAGCACAAATAAGTGCTTGAAGCCTCTCTGCACAAAGATTATATAAATTGGTAGCATATATGGATTATTATGTTTTTGAGAATTCTACTAAACCTGATACAGCAGTATAAAGGTAAGGAAGATTTTTATTCTTTCAGCTTTTCCAGATTTTCTAACAGGTTTTATTCTAATTCACTCACAAAAGTATCATTAAATCAAAATCTAAAGTATAGCCAAGATCTGAACTATAGCAACTGTTGTTCTTATTATTCTCTACTCTTTAGATAATGACTATAGAGCATAGCATTTTAAGTTTCCTACTCACCCACAATGGGCTGGCCTAGAAACTTCACCAATACAGTGAAAAGTAAGTTTCTGAGAAGAGCCCCAGCATCCTTGAAGAGCTCCATAATTGCTCTTCCATGTAGGCCAGACCTTACAGTGGGAACTGCAGCCATTGAATTAGAAAACCTAATGAAATGGAGATAATTGGACCCCCTAGTTCAGGCCAGGTGGCAGCACTCAGCTGTCAAAGGCAAGGTAGCTATGGTTACCTATGGATGAGAGTCAGCCCAGCAGTCAGTTTGACTTGTGCAGACCAGCTAGCTGCCCATGGCCTTGGCAGAAGTGAAGTAGATAGGAAGCCTACTAAATTCTTACCTGATCTGTATAAACAGAAAAGTTCTAGATTATGTGAACAAAAGTCTAACCTGAACCATAAAGAGGAGAGTCACAATCAATTTCCAGACTTGAGCCAGTTACACACCAGAACCTCTTGACTGAAGGGAAGGCCAAGTCCTCTTGAGAAGAGGCCCTGCTACACTACCAGAAAAAAGAAGTTTATGTATCTATTTCTTTCATGAGAGAGACGGACATTCCCAACAGGATCCCCATTCTGCTTTTTACCCCCAGCTCAGCTCCAGCCAGCCTGTATCACAAATGCACACTGTGTAGATGGAGGCCCCAGGACATGAACTGAAGACCTCCCCATCCCCAACCATGTGGTCCAGCCATACCACTCTTTACCT